TTTCAAAACAGTATTTCCCCAATGCAAGACTTTCTCGTCATTTTTTTCTGGATTCATTAATATAAAAAATTAATTAAACGAAATATTTTTATCGACCATAAACAAACAAACAAACAAACAAAAAAACAAATAAACACACACACACACACACACACACACACACACATAGAGTATTTTAGCATTGATTTCTATGTACTGAAAGTTATCATCTCTTGCATAAATGGACAAATAAACACATATGATTTGCTGGAATTGAGCGAAAGAAGCAAAGGATTATAAGTTGCAACAGTGTTTTGTGCCGAAACATTCAAACGTCAAATTGACAGCTTAGAATGCTACAAAATAATGAAACTTCTTTATTTTCCGATGAGGAGGTGATGCAAGGATGCAACATGAATGGATGAAGAGAAAATGACCAATGTCCAGTCACCCTGAAAATAGTTTCACGACTACTGTAAAAGAATTTTAAACGAATGCTTGTCAATAATAAATTTGCTGAACTTTAGGTAAAATCTTAAAAAAAAAGTATTTGCCAATAATCAATCGGTTGTCTGCCTTTATCATTTTTTATTTTAATTATTAATATTGGTTTTGTCACATTTTGATGGTAGTGAGAATGATAAGATAATCTTCCTGGTTCTAAAATCTATGTGATTACCAATTTTCTTTAAATCTTACCTTATGGAGATTTATGTTAGACAGTGGAATATTTGAGAGAATTGCTATATCTATTGAGAGACAAAAAAAAAGCAAATGCTCTACAGTGGCGAATACTTTTTTTTTCTTTTTGACTTTCCTTATCTGTCAGGATATATATATCTGTGACTGCGAACCCCTAATCCATTGTAGATCTTAAAGGTACGTTGGCATTCATCACTTTCTTTTTCTTTCTCTTTTTTTCTCTCTTAATAGTAATACAAGTAATCTGGGGAGAGGGGGGAAGGGTTAAGACGTTCTAACAATATTCGAATAATGCACGTTCAAATGGCTGACGGTAAGAGTAACCTAGCAATCATGCCATATGAGCAGTTTACATGGACAATAATGTTACAATGTGGTAGGGATGGTTATTGGACAAATATATGTGTGGATAAATTTTGATTAATCTTTTACTGTATTCCTGGGCAGTTCACTTAAACTTATTAAGTAAGCAAAACTACAGTAATGAGCTGGAAGTTTATAATGATTTATTCAGTCTGTCATGTTGATTTTTCAGCAAATATGGCTTACGTTAATGTACAAGGCCCAAATCTGCCAACTTTGGCAGATTTGAAAAATCATCTTCGCGAAGAGCCGCTGTACCTCCAAGTATTGGAGAATTATTTGCGAAATGCGGCGCATTTAGTATGTTTTTCTTTCTTGATTTTGAATTGAATTCAGGTTACAGTAATATTTAATTTGTTTATTGAATTTGTCGTTAGCTTTAACAGGTGTGATTTTTTTTTAGATTAATGATTTGAGAGCGAGGCTGGAGAGAAATGAGCTTGAAGCTCATAATAATATTCCAACAGTTGCGGTCCCAAGGGCGGACTTAGGACATCGCGCAAGTCCTCCGCCAACTCAGGAGCAACTAACAAATGGATGGAAAATTATGCAAAGTAAATCAACTTAAGAAAAAAGCATGCAATGCCAGTAAAAAGAATAAACAAATAAGTAAAGTGAGTGAAAAAGCATGCGAAACGAAAGTCAAGAAAAAAGCATGCGGTGTCAGTAGTAATAATAAACGAATAAGTAAAGTAAGCGGAGAAGGATGTAAAGCAAAGTAAATCAAGTTAAGAGAAGGGGATGCAATGTCAGTGAAACAATAAACAAATAACAAAAAGTAGAGCGGAAACTCAAAATTG